ATATGGATATTCCAGCCCTCGAAGAAAGCAATAAGGTACCATGATCAGCGCAGCCCCACCCTGGGTCTCTAGTTTCCCTCTCCCCGAGTGCTCCTTGCTCCCTGATGAACCCCGTGCATCCCTGGGGGTCTGCGCTGGCCCCGCTGCCCTTCTGTGAACACCCGATGCGCAGGAAGCATAGCGGGGCAGTGCGGCTGTGCCCACTTGCTGCTTCTGTTTTCTGGGTGAAAACTGCTAGTGATTTCTCTTTTAACAAATGCTGTTGGGAAGAACCAGTGTTCTGGAGCCTGTTTTCGCCCATGTCATGAGAACAGCACTCCAGCTGAGTCACTTCTTTGGAATGGACGTTAATGTCACTTGGTTTCCTCTCACCCAGGACCCAGGGCTTCATGTCTGGACAAATGAGCCATCCATTATCTTTCCACCAGACTGAAGAAAGATCAGTTTCTTGCGGTTTGTTGTTCTTTTTTTTAATTGCGGATGTGTGTTCAGTGTTTGCCCAAATAATCACTCCAAACCGGGGAGTCTTGGGGGAGTACAGGATGTCCAGATGGCAGCAGCCCTTTGTTAACAGGAGAGATGACAGTCAACAACCCCGGCGTGGTAAAACTGGCCCACACGTCCCTCCACCCCGGGGCCAATGCTGGGGCCATCAAGTGGCTCTGGCAGCCAGTGTCTGACCAGCATCAGACACTCGGTGTTCCTGTGGACAGTAGCTTTGCACAAATTCCCAGCCAGGTGATTTCCAAAATATCAGATACCTTCAAAGAGATGAGGAAGACTGCACTGGGGTCTGGCTCTTACTGTCCACGTTTAACCTTCCTCACACCAAGCTTCAAGGCAACATGGCGCATGAGACATCTGTGAGCAGGAGCCGGCTGCTCCACCACTCACGGCCACGTCCCCTGCCCCCCTCGCAAGGCTTGCAGTCATCACGCTCAAAGTTAGGCCAGGTTTTTCTCTAAGTATTGTTCCCAAGCTTATAATTCCAAGAGTTCACAGTCAAATGTATGTTTTGATACCTTGAGTTGCAGCTGACATCCTGAGGGCATCTTCTGACTCTAAACAAACATGATTCTGATCACTGGGAGACTCGTTCTGTTCTTGGACAGCCCGCTGGGACTCAGTGACATGGACCCCAAGTTCCCCATCTCATGTGTGGGTTTCTGCCACTGGTGCCATCATCTGGAACCTCCCTGAAACCTTCCTGTTCCGACTTTACCCTGGGCACCTGTTCTCCCCATCTTTCCTTTTCTTCTTAGTGTCTCTCCCAGAGTCAAATTCAAAGCCACTTTCATACCCTTTGGTTTTCTTCATGACAAAACGTGGCTGATGTTATTGTCACCATGCCATCAGCTTGGTTTGTTCGGAAATCAAAACAGTCACATCTTTCTTCAGTCTGGTGGAAAGATCATCAGAACGGATTTAACAGTAACATCAGCTCTCTCCTAGAAAATCCAACCAGGTGAGATCAGTGAATATTTCTATTTCCTAAATAAAGAAGCTGAGGCCCGGGGAAGGGCAGTGACTCACCTGTGGTCACAGAACTGGCAGAGCTGGGATTCAACCTAGGACCCACTGAGGGAGTTTCACATCACGTAAATCCGAGTTTAACTGATCAGTGTTGAATCACTTCGGTTGGTTCACAAAACAAATGGCCACCATTCTGCCCTTTTCTCCTCCCAGCTGTCCTCTCCCCGATGCTCCTAACCCCTCACTCACAGCCTGTGGGTTCACTGCGGGGACTTCCACCGCTGCCTCCCATGTCCCATCTCAGCTCCTATCTGAAGTCAGCACCTCCAGGACTCCTCAGCCTTAACAGCCTTCTCCCGAGGAACCTGAGCTTCCACGAGGTGGGCTCCTGCTTTCCCCAACTCACCTCAACACAAAGCTCTTCCTCCCCCAGATCCAGCTGAACCCGGCTTCAGAATATACTTAACCAGCCAAACTTTTTAGCATGTGGAACTCCACAGCTGTTTAGAAAATCTTCCGAATGCAGCCGTTTTTCAACAACCCATCTATTCAGAGAAGCTGGAGAAAGCATAGGTTATGTCTAAATAGCCCCTGGCATGTGTTAGTGTTTTGGAATATGAGCCTGCAACTCCAGCGGCCTCCTCTGCATACCTGTTGGCCAGCGTTGCTAAAAAGTAGTAGGAATGACTGCTTGGGTTTCACCTTCTTTTTCTACCCATCACTGTCCAGCAGGGAGGGGGATTAATGAGCCGTGAAATGGCTACAGTTGAGCAGGGCTGGGTTAAAGCAGAAAAGCAGTGTTCTTAAATCACCTCTGCAGGACTGGGGGTGGCTTGGTTTTGTGTGGATTTCCTTGAAACCTAAGCATATGTTGTTTACTTTTGCAGACAAGTTGTCCATCTGCTTTTGGCTTAATTACAACTTCAGGAAAGTCAGTGGAAAAGATATATTCAGAGTCTAAAGTCATGTCTGTTCCTCAAGGGAAGCTTGTATGTGGGTGACAACGCCTATAGAACTGTTTTGAAAAGCCTCACATGCATCCTCTCTTTTATACGCCAGCCGAACGACCCGAACCTCTCTGTGCCTCAGTTTCCTCACCCATAAAATGGGTAGAATGACAATACTTACCTTGTAGAGGTTTATGAGGATTAAATAGGCTGGCTGTTGCAAAGTGCTCCAAACAGTGAGCGCTCTAGAGTCTAAAAATATTAGCACCGTTATAGCTCAGTCCCAACCAGGGGTCAACCCTAATAACCTGAAACCATTATCTCGTGTACCTTATCTCATTATCTCGTGTACTGGTGGTCTGGGTCTCACAGGGCCACGAATACACAAATCTGGAACACTTTCCTTTAAGCAAGTCAAAGGGAAGAAAATTGTCAAATGAATCAGTGACTGAGTTTGTTCAACCACCCTGTAGAAAGAAACATGGAATTTGACATGCTCTTTCGACATCTTTGGAACTCTGCAGTCAGGATTTTCCCCATCGGAGGTGAGCTCCCCGTGACAAATGAGGGACCTGCCCTCTGTCCCACCGAGATGAGCCATTGTAACACAAAACAATCTCAAAATTGTTGACATCACTGCCACTTTCAAATCTGTGCCTCCCGCCAAGGGCCGGTGGATTCTACTGCCTGCCACCTCGCGTTCACCAGCAGAACTGCACGTCGCTCACACCCAGGCATAGAAACGGTAAAAAGACCAAACGGAAACATGGCTTTGTGGACGTAAGGTTGAAATCTGAATTTAAAACAGAGCTATCCTGTAGGCATGGAACATCTTCCTTTGATAGCTTTCTCACAGACCTGCGCTGGTAGACACACCCCTTTCCTCCATAACCTTTAAGCCCCTGAGTCACAGGAGTTGCACTAAATTGCTTAAACAGATCTGGCTTATCACCGGCAGTTGTCCTCAAAATACTCGGTTCAAATATTACCAGAACTAAATCTGGAGGAGGGAGTCCTGGCGTTCCAGAGCCCTTGCCTCATGTTCCAGCGCAATCCCAGCAGATGGTCTGATTTATCTAATCAGATGCTGAGTGCCGGCTACACCGGCCCAGCCCTCCTTTCCACAAGTCTGGTGGTCTCCTTTTTTATGACTCCGCTTGAGAGGCCTGGAAAACATTCTCCCTGATAATGCAGGTGATAAAACCAGATCTTCTGGTGGAACGAGCAATCAGAAATTCCACTGGGCAAGCACAGAGCTTAGAGAAAAGTCAAGATTGCGGATGACATGTTTTCCAGTAGATGAAGGTGACTGAAGGACTTGAATGGGGGTGGGGGGAACCAAAGGAGAGGGTGAAGTCCTCTAGAGCACGACCCGCTGATGCTCAGCGTCAGAAATCGGGAACTCAGTATAATGGTCAGAAACGTGGTCTAAAAATAGAAGACTCCACGTGGGAAGAACATGAATTTTGGAGCCAGACAGGGGGGTAAATAGCAATGCCACAGTGCATGTGTTTAACAGACAGCACAGGGAGCGCATTCTGTGTGTCAAATCCTGCCAGGGATGCTGAGGACAGAATGTGAATGAGGCATGAGCCCTACTTCCAAGGGCCTCTGTCCCATGTGAGTGTGGGGCACAGATGGAGCGTGGCAGTGCCCTGCAGTGTGCTGTGGGGGAAGGAGCCCCGGCCGCCTCCTCCAGCTGTGAGGAGGGGAGGATGTCCCCAGACAGCCCATGCTTGGGTCACGTCCTCTAGCCCCTGTGAGCCACAGGCAGTGAGGGCTGCGTGTGCCATGGCCCTGAGCTTCCAAAGAAACACGCCCAACCGCTGGGCGCTCAGTTAGATTGAGGCATGGAGCACATTGTGCCAGCATGGGAAGGGGCACTCCAGGGCGGCAGGGGACAAGCCTGAAGGCCATGGCGGCTGGGGTGCGGTGTTTGCAGAGCCTGCAGAGCTGACAAGGTGGCTAGGGGGCAAGGCAGGCAGGCTCTCAGAGACCCCACCACCACCTTCACTTCACAAACGAGACATGAGCCAGCAGTGCTCAGCGGTGGCGAGCGGCCCGGACCATGACGTAGGACCCTTAGTATGAGGGACCCTCAGCGCACATGGAAAGTGGGTGCATGGGACCCTCAGCGCACGTGGGTAGTGGGTGCATGGGACCCTCAGCGCACGTGGGAAGTGGGTGCATGGGACCCTCAGCGTGTGGGACCCTCGGCACGGTAGCATGGGAAGCGAGTGTTGCTGCATGCAGAGCACCACTGGGTCCAGGGGCTGCGGGTGAGACGCTCATCTCTCTGGGCTGTCCCCTCACCTGTGGTACAGGAGAATTAGACCCTCTCCTTGGCTCCCAAACCTGCCTGTGAATCTGAAGTACGTGGGGGCCTTGCTGAAAATACCAGTTCCTGACTGGGTTGTGGCTCATGCCTGAGCCCCAGCACTTTGGGAGGCTGAGGCAGGAGGATGGCTTGAGCCCAGGAGTTCGAGGCTGCAGTGAGCTCTGATCATGCCACTGCAGTCCAGCTGGGCAACAGCAAAACCCTGACTCAAAAAATATATATTACATATATACAAATTCCCTATCCTTTCGTGGGTCATCACCATGGTGCTGGAGCATTCACACTCGTGTGTGAGACATGCCTCTCTCAAACCTGGTTAAAATATCAGCACATGACCCATCTCACATGAAAAAATTAAAAAGAAAAAAGAAAAAAATATATATATGAAAATTCCCAGGCTCCTTCCCTTGACCGCCAAACTGCTAGACCAGAAAATTCACAAGGTCTGAGACTCTCCGTAGTTGGTACTTTGGCAGCCAGCCCAGCCCAGCCCTGGGACAGGGACCACTTCACAACGATCACACGGAACCATGTTAAAATGCAGGACAGGAGGGGGCCCAAGGGTCCTGATTGCTAATGAGCCCCCAGGTGACTCTCACACTGCTGACCCCCGACCTCTCTCAGGCACCCCAGATGCTCTCTCAGGTCCCTTCCAAGTCCAATATTTTATGAAGCCTTTGGAAAAGTAATCAGTTACCAACGGTAAAAGAGCAGAGATGTAAATGTGAAAAGTGACGATAATGGTCTGATTTCAAATGTCTATTGCTGTCTGTAAGACTGTTGCTAGGGAATGAGGCTCATAAGGAAGACAGAGGTGGTTTTTTGTCTCATAATTTATGAGAAGGGAATATTCTTTTATCCAACATAAAATGAATCCGTACTCTAGGTAAGAACTTCAGAGCTGTGTTTCTCTTCAGTGTCTGTGCGGTAGAATTTTTTTTGGCAAATTATCTTTTTCCCCTGTCTTTCTGTAGCAGCAACACACTGGGTGAATCTCAAATGCATTGTGCTAAATGAAAGGAGCCAGGCTCAAGACTCCACACTGTATGGTTCCGTTTCTGTGAGTGTCTGGAAAAGGCAAATTACTGGGAGGGAGAAACAGGAGGAGCGGACCGAGGTTTGGAGAAGGGAGCATTTGACAGCGAAGGGGCCACACCCGGAATGTGGGGTGAGACAGAGCTCTTCTCTCTCTTGCCGGTAGCGGTGGTTACACAACTCTGCGTTTGTTAATGACACACCAGATAACCCACCAAAAAAATGAATTTTATTGTATGTAAATGAAAAGATAAAATATCTTTTGAAAGAGTAAGAACACTAAGTCAAAATAAAGTCACAGATAAGTAGGGGTAGCCAGAGGAGAAGGAGGGGACGATGGTTATCAAGCATTTTCTAACAACAGAAAAGGTGGAGTTCGGTTTAAAGCATGTCCTATTCAGGAACATTTCAAATAGAGATAAGGGGGAAAGCAGTGTGCCACACCAGTTCAAACCCCCGCCCCACGCTCAGCACCCCACCCTTTTTTCTTAGTTGGCCCGTGTGGTGTTTGCTTTTTCACAGAACCAGCTCAATATAATGCTAACTTCGAGAATATTTTTCTCTCTCATGTGTGGACTGCTGTTCAGTCTAAGTGCAAAATAGATTTAACTCTTGGTCCCGTGCCTGGGCTATGCCACAGATAGGGAGAAGGCACCCTGGAAGACAGGCGGCCTGCTTGCTAGCTCACAGGGAGCCCGCCTTTGGGAGGCTGCCCACGCGTCTTTCCTCTCAATTCCACCTGGGGGGACTCTGCAGGGCTGTTAGCCGCTTGTGACCTGCAGAGGCCCATGGGGTAATGACAGTCCCGTGGCGCAATGGGAGCACAGCTTCTCAGCCATGAGTCATGCTATGCTCTTGAGTACGAAGATGATCTAAGAATATCAGGAAAAACATTGGCACGTGCAGTTGGCACATGAAAATTAGTAACCTGCGAGTCAGGTCATAAGTGTAGACAACTAACACTTTTAATTACCAGTCATGGTGAGATTCTGGTAGCTCAGTAGCTGGCTTCTACGCTAATTGTCACTCTAACTATGTAAGCAGAGGCCACCACCTCAACGTCTGTTACCTCTTCATGACTTCAGGCTGCGTGACGGTAATGCTTTGGGCGTTGTATAGTGCATGTCAGTAATGCTGAACTAGAAAGGGCGTTTCATATCCATTTGAGGTCTGATGGCCAGAGCTCTCTGCATGCTGCCTGTGGCTCTAGAATCTGCTTCCTCCTGGCCCCTTCCACAGGTGCAGTCTGGTCTCCCAAGGCCCTGAACTCATCCACAAGCAGACTCCAAGTCTTCTTAGAGGACAAGCAGGCTTAGGAAATCACGTCAGTCTATTACACAATGATTCACATTCAGGCAAACGAAATGTATTTATTGCTAAAAGCACAGAGGTAATAAAAGGCTTTTCCAGAAAGTCAACTTTTCCAACACATGCCAGGCAAAATCATATCCAGACTATAAAAAGTTTGGGCTAAAAGTCATTGAGTACAACCACCCATGTGCTGCCTATTTTTAGAATAGGGAGCAGGGGTTTTCAGACTCACTGATACTCTGGGTGGGGAATAGGAGATGATACACTCTTTCTCTGCTCTAAAATGTGCATCTACTTCAGTCAAATCATTTCGGACAAAACTGTGTAACAGCATCTTAAAATTCTAGGTGGCACCTTCTGGGTTTTGAAAAACTTTTTATGGAGATAAAGCATAACAGAAACCAGTGGCTTCCCCGACTTCGCCTTCACGCCTGAATGTAATTCAGTCCTGACCCACTTTCCATTCTGCTGCCCTGTGGGCTGCGCCCCAGACAGTTCTCAAAATTTCTGTCAGTATCACCCTCAGACAGACCAGATTCCGTACAAGGAGAGCTAGGTCTTGGATTCTTCAGATATTTCCCTGGCAGACATTTTTTGAAAGCGCGCGGCTGGATGTGTTTTTCCAAATGTCACTTTAAAGGCATACACTCTCCTTCCTGTTCTAAGTGCTCTCTGTCCCGTAAGCTCACTTGCAGGCATACCTGGAGGGGACATGCTCTCGGTCGCCAGGCAACGTGCCTGTGACGTCACGGCTGTCTTCTTCATCTTTGCCTTCACTCAGCTCCTCTTTTGTTGTTTGTTTTTAGGTCAAGGTTATTGAGGCATAATTGACATACAAGTCATTGAATACCGACAAATGTATGCAGCCATACAACGGCCAGAATCGTGCTCTAGAGCAGGTGCATTCCCCCAGAGCCTTTCCTTGTTCCCTCTCAGTTAATTACCTCCCTCCACTCCAGCACTGGCAGCCACTCATCTGTTTTCCGTCTTTACTTTTGCCTTTTCTAGAATGTCATAAAAATAGACTGTAAGTTGTGTTTTGTGTCTGGCTTCCGTCACAGAGCAGAATGCCTTTGAGATGCAGCCTTACTGCTGTACACGTCAGGCACTTCGTTCCTTTTTTATTGCTGAATAGCAATCCCTGTCATAAGCTAATTTAATAAAAGCAGGGTGGACACATGCCTTCGTTTCCCTAGGGGTGTACCTGGGAGAGGAATTGCTCTTCCCGTGGTGGGTGGATGTGGAACTTTAGAAGAAACTGCCAAGCCGTCTTCCCCAGAGGCTGCGTGCTTTGCATTCCTGCTGGCAGCCAATGGGATTGAGGGTGCCGGCCTTGCCAGTTCCAGGCATGGCCACCTGTTGCTGTGTGTATTCGCCATTTTAGTCCATCGCAGTTATATCTTCTGTGGATTTAATATGTTTTTCCCTAATAACCAGTGATGTTTTAGTATCTTTTAATGTGTACAACTTCTTTGGTGAAGTGTCTGCTCAAAATTCTTTTGCCACATTTTGCAATTAGGTTGTTCATTCCCGTATTATTGAGTTTTGAGAGTTATTTATATGTTCTGGATAAAAGTTGTTTATCAGATGTGCGTTTTGCAAATATGCCTCCCAGTCTGTCCCCGGCATTTTATTTTTAACAGTATATTTGACTATCAAACTTTTCTAATTCTAGCCAACTTTTTTTTCTATAGGTTGTGATCTTTGTGTTTTATCTAAGAAATCTTTGCCTAATCCAAAATCACAAAGATTTTCCCCTTGTTTCCTTCTAGAAGTGATATAGCTTTAGCGCTTACATTTAGGTCCATTTTGAGTAAAGGTCTGTATATCGAGTGACATAAAGGTGAAGGTGTGATTCTTTACACGTGGATGTTATTTACTTTGTATTCACACTAGTACTACAGTCTACATCAAATAATTTTGGAGGGCAGAAATTCTAAGGGCCCATATAATTCTACCTCACACAACTGAAATTCTTAATAAAGAATAGTACCCAGGGGTGGGACAAATGTCTTATATGCTAAATAAGAAGGTAGAGATTGAAGGTGTCAGATTTAACCTCAGCTCGGTGTTGCATGGAATTGGCAGCTGATAGCTGTCTGTGTAATATACTGTACAAATTCTAACCTTTACATGATTGTTACCTTGGAACATGCTACTAATTTCATCTTGCCAGAGTGGTCTAAAAATTGCTCAGAAATGCTAACTGATCATCCTTAAGAACAATGAATATTTCTACATTTTGGCTGGCAGAATCATTTTTCTAGAACCTGAAAAGTAGTCCCTTCTGCCCTTGGGGACATCTTACATATTTCGAATGCGTGGCAAAGTGCTCACAGAAATTAACTAGGACTTAGGTTGGAATCCCTGGAGAGTCACCAGGAATTGCAGCCTTGGACAGGCCTTGAAGGTCTGGAACACACTGCGGAAGGGAGGGAGGGTCCGCCCTGGGGAACAGAGAGGATATGGGCGTCTGCTGGGCGCCAGTGCCCATAAAAGGTGAGACAGGAAGAGTCCATTTAGGAAGGAGAAGGGATTTCCTACTATTCAGATTTCAGCTGGTAAGTCATGAAAAGCTCATTCTTACTCTACCAGTAAAATACTGTACTGTAGATTAAAAATCCTGATGTGTAGTGAAGCAGTTTTTATCCTAGGAAACATTTTTTTTATCCTTCTTTGATAAATGAAACTCTTTCTACTCCCTTACCCAAGGAATATTTTAAGGTTAATGAACAATGAATGGAAGCCACAGGGTTGTGTGATGTGAGACCGTGATTAATCATCCATCTGTGCACCTTTGTTTAAGTCTGAAGCTGTACAGTACACTGCATGTGTCCATATCTGATAAGATTTTGCCTCTTTTCTCAGAAGTGAAATTCCCCAATTCATGCAAGCTTCGAGTGTCAGGACCCTGAGTGCATTCTCTCCACAGTTGTGGTATTTGAACAATGTGGGTTCAAGTCTGGACTCATTGCATCTGCCTTTTCAGACCGCAGCGTC